GGCCATAAAATTTCGGAGGAAAAGGATTGTTATCAAAAAAATCGACCGGAGGTTTTTATGGCTCCTATAGTCTGCTGGCCATTAATAATTTAATTACCAACAAAACGCAATTAGCAGCCGAATGAACGACCAGGGTGACGCAAGAGCGCGTGAAATTGGCGCTAATGGAGCGCAATTATAACGCAATTTCTACGACTCTAATGAGTTGAAGCCTATTTATGGTGCCGCGTGCGGCTCTTTCCGATTTCCTTTGGCTCGCTTGGTCCACAGGGACTGAGAGTAGCGATGCTCTTGTCGATCTGTGGGAGGAAACGAGCGAGAGAGCCAGCCAGAGAGGTGTGTTAATTGATCTGCCGAGCCGCCTCCGAGCCATAATTTATTTTTATTTTCCTCCAAACATGCACTCCTGGGAATTTAATTGCTTCTTTAAAGAGCTGTCTTGCGTTTGAGCTTGAGACGGCGAGACTCTAAGTAAGTAATTGATTTCAGGAATTCAAAATGAGGAAAACAATCTTTGATTATGAAGTAATTGGCTATCTACGTACATCATCAAATAGCCACTTTAAAATTACATTAGTATCAGGAATTCAGGAATTGAATACTTGTATCAAATTCAAATCTGTATTTTTTTTTTTTTTTTTTTTTTTAGGGTCAGGCCAAGACAAAGTCTTGTCGGCCTGTGCCCTTTATTGGTGGTACAGAAGGCACCACCCAATTAATTTTTTTTTATTTTTGTTTTAGGGTATGTAATAAGGCTCTTGAAATTTTTTCATTATGATACTATTGTGGAATTATTGACATAACAGTCAGATCTGGTTACTCGGAAATTAAGTTACTTCTATTAGCAATTTTTGATACACCTAAATTAAAGATACTTATATTTTTATCTACTACAAAAATGTTATGTTGTTCTGTTAAACTGATGTATTCTAAACTAAAATTATTACAAAAATTCAAAGCCAAAAAATATTTAAAATATCAAAGATAATATTAAAATTTATATCAGTATGTTTTTAAATAAATTAAATAAGTAAAGTTATAAAAAAAATAATGAAAACAATTATATTAAGGTCTTATTTTGTATTTAAAAAAATATATATTACATCTTCAATGTCAAAATTGTTAATCAAGGTAACAATCTATATGCTCTTGGATTTGTTCTGCATTCACACTTGGACTGGCCGCTAACGAGGCGAGCAGGCAACCCGCACCACTCTCTGCAACAAGCCACCCCAATGCACCCTCTCGATCATCAGTTGCTAGTTCCTAGAGGCCATGCCCGCAGCATTTAGTCGGAGAGAAGATAATAAAATTTTCTCGGCCGCCAATGCTGAGCCTCGCCAGTGAGTCAACGCTTCGAAAAACTGCGTAGGGTGCATTTGGAAAAGATTCACGCAGCGATGGGGCGCGAAAATAAAATATTATCTCTCGTGTTGCACAAATTGCGTTTTTCACAATCACCCGAAGCAAATTCAGCTTTTGTTCGTCCAGAAAAATTATTTACATTCACTTTGACATGCAAATAATGCCAGAGAATTGAGTTCGGTTTGCATAACTATTGGATTTTTTGTGAAATACACCAGCGATGTAATTAAATAATGTTTCGTCATTTGCATGTAAATAAAGCGGTTGGATGAGGCGCATGACAAAATAATTACAACCCCCTCGGTATGTATACTGTGGCGGATCACGCGACGTGACGTTTTACGGTCGGGGCTGCCCGTCGCGGGTTTATGAACGCCGAATAAAATTACGCTTTATTGCAGCAACGTGTGTACACGACTTTTTGGCTTCATTTTGTGGACAAGATTTCCGGAGAAAATAACAATTAGGCACGCAATATACAATAAAGTTTTGGTGGTTTTCCATTAGTCATTTATTGGCACTCATGTGTTAATAAAGTCAGACCTATGTATACTTTTTAATTGTTTGAAAAGGTATTTTTAACCGTTTTTTTGTAAATTGCAAATAATTAATTTTATTATAGTAACTCGTCTTTTGCTATTCATATTTCATAAGTTTGATAGCTTCAAATTAATTATTTACTGGTTGATGGATTATAAAAAATTAGCATGCAGCAATTTTAAACTTGCGCTATTAAGCTAAATTTATTATTTCTGCTTTTTATTCATTCAATTTTTCCATCATGTTGTTTAAAATCAATTGTTATAAAAACATTTATTTAAAAGAAAAATTTTTGGGAAAATTAAAGTTGACAGACATTGTGCTTGAATTTCAATTTAATTAAAATAAAAAAATAAATTATTTTTGTCCACTTAAAAATTAAATTAGGATTAATTTCACCTCCATTTTTTTAATGCATTTTTCTATGTTGTATTAAAATTGAAGGAGCAATAAAATAATAATAACAAGGTTACGCTGCACGCTTTCAAGATGACAAAAACCAGAGGCAGGTTGAAATTGGACCAAGGCGTAATTTGCCTTCTGCTGGTATCACATTTTCAATTTTTTTGTGGTCCCAAAACATCTCATGAGGTGCCGTGCAATAAGTGTGCGTCTTTCTCTGTTTCTTTTCCGCTCTCGGCCCAACCATAATTATCGGTCGGCCTCTGCTGCTCCCTGCGTGGTACAAAGTTTCTTTCGTCTGCTGCTGCGAGAGACTTTTCCCTGGCGCGCATTGTGTGGTCTCGCCGCTCTTTCTCTCGCCCAAATAAAAAACACAAACATGAACCTGGCGGGCCGCCTCTCTCGATAGATGAAAATTTGGTTCTCTATAAAATGTGCGTTCCCTACTCTCGTCCCAGCATCCTTCCGACAGCTTTTGAAATTTATGGCTTTTTTATTAATGCACACAGCACACACCGGGCGAGCAATTTCTTATGGTTTGCATGATATAGAAAACTGTGCGTTCCTTATTGCTAAAGGCGCGGTTTCTACTGTGAATTCAACGCCATCAGACGCAGGCAAATTTATCACAGCTGGAATCTCATAGATTTTCTTAAACCTTAATTTTACCGAGCGTATCATAATTAAAATTTCATTAAAAGTTAAAAATATTTTCATTTAAAGAAACGCTGTAGTAACAAAAATAAATAAGTTAGGAAAATATAAATTTTTGTGATTAAAAATAATTTAAAATTATGAAAAAATTAAAAAAAAAATATGTATTAAGTTTGCTTAACTTTCAGTTCAGTTACGATCACTTATCTTGATCTAATTGAATTAAATGAAATTAATTATTTGACAATAACTCAAATAAGAATTATATTTATTAACTGTTTTTTTTATGTTTTTTTTTTTAGCAACTGCCATACATTTTTACATTTAATTTGCAATTGTTATCGCACGTCTATAATACTATAGGCAGAAAAAATAACATTTAATTAGAGAAAAGTAAATAAAATACAAAAGTTAAATAGCCACGCTGTTAACTAGTATTAATGCTGGTAACTGATAAAAATGATTCATTTCAATGACATTAAATTTCTATTGTTAGCCTTGTTAAGGACGTATTAATTTTACGAGCTTCATTATCAGCATCAATTTCACCATAAATTACCTTTGTCAACTTGATTGCCATCTCCTTCCTTTTTACTTTTAATTCGTTCTGGTTTTGCTTGTAATTTTTATCTAGCTGCTCCGAACCTGACCTGCAGTACGGAGAAAACCGGTGCTGTTTTGACAAGCTCGCACAATAGGGGCGTGTGAAAACTGTTTTACTCTATTATTCCTACACCCCTCGCCCTTTTTTCCTTTGGTTAGATCGCCAGGTATCATTGTTGCGTCGCACAAAAAGAGAGCGCGCTGCTTTTATTTTCATATGACAAGAGAGTATGTCGCGCACCTTTATACACTGTTTATGCCCACTTTGGGCTTTGTCGAAATAGATCCTTTCTCTTTTCATCCCCGCTTGCTCTTGAAATCACCCCTGTCCCTGCTTCTCCGCGGCTCGAGGGTCGCTATCTTTTTGTCACGTGAATCTTTTCCTTTGCGGAGAGAAGAATTTTCAAAGCCGCGCTCTGGGAGCAGTTTCGTAAATAAAACGTTCAGAAAATTAGCATGCAGCAGGAAATGTGTCATCCCTCTTTTATGAAGTAATGCGGGTGGAGTCGCGCAGCACGGAATAATTAATGCGATTTGAATGCTAATGCGATTAACTTTTATAATGTCTAATTAATACGTCCAAGTTGAAAGTTCAAGTGGCTGACTGCTTTTTTCAGATATATCAAGTGGCTTTTGCAACGAGAAGAAATTGGATATCAAATTTCTCATTTTTTCTGTGAAAAGATAAAAAAAAAATATTTTCATCCGCATTGGAAAGCTGATTTATTTACTCGACTAGGTGGAGTCTTGCTTGTGTGTGGAGCTCATTTCCATACAAGATATTTTGGCGAGGGCATGCATGCTTCCATGCAGCACACAGAGGAATTTACTACTTCAGGAAATTACAAGCAAGGCCATGTTCCGAAACACCATGTCGTGACAATGGGTAAGTTAAATATTGGATATTTTGGGAGTCACGTCCGCGGTCATGCATCCCAGCCTTTGTTCCAACCTTCTGTAAAGGTTTTGTATAAATTGATGTTAATTTCAATTAAATAAATATTTTAATTTAAAATTCATTATTAATATTTCATAAGATGCAGAATAATTATTTGATGCGTACAATGGACATTTCAACACCTCATGAAAATTTGACTTAAATCTTAAATCAGAAGCTTTTGTGAAACTTGCACAATAAATAACATATAGCAACAAATAAATTATAAAATCTAATAAATAGTTTAAAGCAAAAATCAGTTTATTTTAAAATTCTTTGTAATTTCTTTAATATATAGATTAAAAATATTAAAATAAATAAATATATTAAAATCTAATAATATCTGAAAATAAGTCAATTCACAATCAAGCTTTTAAATTAATAATATGTTTTAATTTTTCCTTTTACTTTATTTTAACAATTTAATATGTCAATCATATTGCAACGAATATAAATTAAGAGAAATTCATTGAATTAATTTAAAAATGAAGAAACAGACCTGGTGGACAGATGCACTCGGAGGTGTCCCTGGCGGTCCTCTTGAGCACCACCTGGGGCAGGAGGGCCTCCAGCGGTGGAGGCGGCTCGTCGTCGTCCTGTTCGTCTTGATCGTCGTCGTTGTCTTCATCGGCATCGGCCGCCTCGAGTCGGGCGAGCCGCAAGTCGTTGGCCGCCTGGTAGCGGAAGAACTGTGCGCGGAGGGCGGCCACCTGCCGGTCGGCGGCGGCCACGGCCTCCCGGTCGACGAGGCGCTGCCACGCGAGCAGCGCGACGGCCGTCACCAAAAGCACGTTTAACAAAAGTTGGAATTTTCCCCTGGGGGGCTGCAGTTTTTCCTCCATGGCTCGCACTCACATAGGGACCATTCACCGGACACTGACGAGCGCCGCGCGCGCGCTCACTCGGACACACTTGTGATCTCTCGCTGAAGCTGCCGCCGCCGTTCGACCGCCTGGACCGACTGCCTGCCTGAGACTGAAACGCCGCTCCCGCCGCGATCTCGTGCGCGGCTCAGACGCTCGCCCGCCCCAACCCAGGTCCTCTCTCCCTAGCCGCGCCGCTCTTGCGGACCACGCCGGACGTCCGCACCACCCTCCTCTGTCCTCGCATTCGTACACTCCAATTTCAAATAACCATGGAATTTGAATCCTTTTAAATATTATTATATTTTAGACAGCGAATGATTGCTGGTTATATATCAACGTGAAACAAGAGTTACGGCTCCATTTTTACAAATATATGTATTTCATTATATTCATTTTTGTAACAATTCTGTGATTGATCCGCTCGGTTTTTTTAATTGCTCCGAGTTAATTGATACAGAGTAAAGTCCGCATCCATTTTTTATAATGTGACTCTCTCAAAATACTTCAATATTTAAATAAAACACTCATTGTCAGTCCCATATTATGACTTTTACATAACTCGTTCTCGTCAGCGAAACCAATTTTTCTAAAACTTTCGATGAAGTTCATTATCTTTATTTTTTACCAATCAATTTTTTTATTCATTCGCTATTTAAGTACTTAGAACTTTATCTTGCGAATTTAATTATGTATTAAGTTTTAAAAATTTACTTTGGTTTAGTTATAAATCATAATCAACACCAAATAAACATAGAATCAAATTTTTAACCATTATTTGCTGTTGAAAATTAATATGGAACATGGAACACTAAATAAATGTGGTACTATTACTAATTTTTTACTTCTTCCTTTCCCTTTAAAAATTATTAATACAACATTAATTTACTTTGTACAATATTACTTATTTCACTAATTTTTTAACTAACATCATCGCGACGGTTGAATCGAATGAAATTTTAATAGAAAAAAAATTCATTTGTAGTTTAAAATTAAGAATTGAAGTTATTGCCATTATTTTTTATTAATATTTACTATTTAAGTGGACATCTTAGTTGATTTTTTACCCTGAAATTTAAAACATGAAATAAAATAATGTTTTAAAAAAGCTTTAAATTTTATTTGATGAATTTCCTCTGAATTTTTGGACTTACAGTGTCCTCGTTCAGGCCCTGAGGTAATGAAGACTTTGAAAATATATTTGTGCTTCCATCTGTGGGTTACCACGTTACACAGTCAGTGCGAGCAATGGAGCGCTGGTGGTTTTGTGTGCGACGCGCCTCCTCGAGCGCTCAAAGAACTATTATCGTAAAAGCCTTTAATCGTAGAGCGCTAAAGCCACGTCGGGATTAAATACATGTTAGGCTTATCAAAAAGTCTATTAATTAAATACGAAATCTACCAATAAAAAACCGAGTAATTAATGATTTCATGGATAAATTCTTAATTTTATTTCATGATGGTTAATTTTATTCTTCATCTGTTTCTATTAAAATTAATATACCACAGTGTTTATTTAATTGCTCATTTATACGCAATTGAGGTTCTCTAATCACAGCGTTATTTTCTCAATTCTACATTGGGAAACTGATATAATTAAATCAAAATTTGCAAGCTCTGCAGCCTAAGAGAGAAATCAAATTCTCGGATTTTGTTTACTATTAATAAGGAAAAATTATTTATCCGATTAAAATATAATAATACATGGAATTTGTAGTGAAATTTTCAATTCTAACTTATTAAAAATTAAACATTTAGAGGAGACAGGAGACTATATTAAAATTAAATTATATCAGCATCCAGAATAAAACACGATGATCATCTAACTCCTCTCTCAATTGCACTAATTTGAATCTGTGGGCGTTCAGCAATGAACTGAGCTTTGACATTTAAATGGCACCGCCATAAATTCATTGAAACACTCTTGTGGTCGCATGCACGAGTAGGGCTCTCTGTCAAAGAGAATCTCTTGTTTTTTTTAAAGAACGTTTGACAGCAATTTTTAAAACAAACAAAAACTCACGAGAATGGATAATAATTTGGATGATTTTATTGAATACAAACTTCATTTATACAAATCAAAGTAATTAAACGCGACGCAGAGTGTCTCGAATTTCCTTTTCAAAATGTATTTTCGCTTAATTATGTTCTTCGCGACAGAGTCTGGAGGCCGGTGTGCACAAAAACCACCCCAAACGAAGAGCAAAAAAATAAGCTACCGGCCAAACAAACCGGGGTCTTTTGACTCGGCACAACTCAATACTCGTCGCTCGCTTTTACTCTCTCGCATCGAGTGTGTGTGTGTAAAAGTGAGGACGCAGGCGCGCTTTCGGCTTCAGCATCTCTGGCAGTGGCGGCGGCCAGATATGCGGCAGTGCCGGTGGTGAATGGGCCTCTTCATCCCTCGGTGAGACCACCCTCAGACGCCAGCAATCGATACAGCAGCTGCCGGTGAGTAAACCCCCGATTCCAAACCCCCAAACGCGCCCGAAATCATTCCAAAAATCGTCCAGAGCTCGACTCCGGCTCAAAGAAAAGGAAGTGGGTTTTGCGGGTGGTGTGCAGGCCGGGGGTCAGAGGTCAGGACTGGGTCGGGGAACCGGGACCGGGCGAACTGCCAAATCCACATGGCTAGACGGGAGAGGCTCGTACTACAGATTTGGGGGTGATGATGCGGCGGATGTGCAGAGCTGATAGCAATTTTGATGATGTCGTCTGCCTGCGTTTATTGATCCAATAAGCATCCCACAGTGAGATGAGATTTTGCTGTTCATGCTTAGTAAAATAGGTTTTTTTAGTTGTTTTCTTTGTGCACTTTGCTTTTTACGCAAATAGATGACATTTTTATTTGTTTTACACAATTTTAATTTTTTTTTAATAATTGTATTACGCCTAAATAATATTGCATTGTATTTAAAATACATTTTTTAAATTAGTCAGCTAACTTTTTTGTATTTTTTTAGGTATGTTTTATTTGTTTATTTTAAATTTACGGTTTTAGCATCTGACTTCTGATTTGTAAATTAACCAAGATTATTCTAATTTTACTTTTTTTTTTTAAATATGTGGTTTTACATTTATCACTGCAAGCAGTGAGCCTACAGGCTCTTAGTATATTTAAATAAAATTAATATTTATAACGTGTCCTATGATTTATGATAGTGGAATTAGGAATTAGTAAAGGCAAGCGAATTGAGTGACAGTTCCTTTTGAGTAGCATTTGATGTGCAAATGAATTCGAAAAATAATTTTTGAAATTGGAAAAAAATGTCCAAATCAGAGCATACAATTTGCTGACATTTTACAAAGAATGTACAGATTTATAGAATTGAATTATGAATTTTACTAAGAATAATTATTGAAGAATTTAATTTTAAACACAACTTACTCCAAATTAAGTTTAGACTGCAAAAATTCGGCGATGTGCACGGCCGATAAATAAAACATTTTTATTACAAATTATTAGTTACATTTTATAATTTTATGTGCTTTAGCATTAGCACCTCTTCAGTTGGCTAAAAGTTTATTTGTTTAACAACTAATCAGTTAATCACGTAGAGAAATAATAACAAAAAAATTATCAAATGTATTGCAATGAGTTTTATTAGTTTTAGACCAGCTCGATCGACTACATGACCAGCTCAATTACAAATAACAAGTTTTATAATCATGATAAATCCAGCTACAAATTTGGTGGAAATTTAAGCTCGTGTGCTTTAGAGAGGTAAATTACAGCAACACTGTATCATGTCTAAGCAAGTTGGATTAAAGAAAGCAACAACGTCACCGTCACTCATGACTTGTCTTTAATTTTCGAGTGTGCTCTCGTCTTCAAAGAGCTTTTGAAAAGAAGCCACTCTCGTACCTGCGTGATAAGCGAATAAAAACACACAAGTCGGCTGTGTGATGGTTATGTGAGTAAACGGGGGTGTGCCGCACCCTGTCTCAACCCTTTTGTCTCTCAAGTTCAGTGCCAATCGATTTGATGAACTACAAGTTAGCGCCGCTCTCTAAAAATATCGTTTCCTTGCGTGCATATAAAACTTCTAACAAGCTTTTGTTTCCTTCTAGAACTGCGTAGATATGCAAAATATCCAAAATATAAAGCTTTAAAAAATTATGAACGTGATTTATGAATCACTGATCAAATTTCTGTAAAAAAAAAAAAACAAAGTCTTCATTACATAAAAAAAAAATTGATGTAAAATTTCAATAAATATCTTCAAAATTCTAAGCATTCCAACGGGATAAATAAATAAAAAAATACTGGAAAAACGCAGTGTTCATTGTTTAAAAAAAAATACTGATAAAAAATTTCAATTAAATTTCTCCAAAATTCAAAGCATGCATAAAAAATGTATACAAAATTAGGAAAAACTCGAGTGTAATTAACTAATCAAGTTAATTTTTTTTTTTTAAATTTTTTTTTTGGTGGTAAAGAAACACATCATAGGTCATTCTCTGCTGAAATAAATTGATATACAATTTTTATATAATTATTATTTATAAAATCAAATAATATTTATAAAATTACATTGAGTGAAAACCTTGCATTATTTCCTGTATCTTTTTAATATTTTTATTACATTTTGAACTTAAAAAGTGACAAAATTTTTCAGGAAGTGTCATTTTGTCTGTAATTATGCCAATGCCAAAGTCGCAAACGACGCCACTCAATGTCATAAATTTCCCAGTAATGATAAAAAGGCACCTCACCGCTTGCACAGCACATTCAACGTCACATACATGTATACATAATGCGTGCATGTACTCAATAAAAAGCACTCAATGCGCGCGATTTGGTGATAAACCGATAAACGCTCTCGGAGCATCTCCCTCTGCGAGAAACGAGCGATTGCAGCAAGCGATAAAAATGCCGCACTGAGGAAATGAGCGATTGCTGCGTCGAGAGCACAGCAAAAAAAAATGAAATATGTACATAGCTAGGCTGATATTAAGGCCACACCCAGCTCGTATTCGGTCTCGAATTTTATTGTTAGTCACGACTGGAGCGAAATTTGATCGGCAGGGCGAAGACGAGAAGGAAAACGATACTTCACCTGTGCATGATGCGTAATATATTGGACTGGGAGAGAATAG